TCTTCGTGTGGCGGGGGGGGGGGGGGGGGGGTTGTTCGTTCACAAGAGCTTTTGGATTTGCATTTTGCACATTCTTCAGAACAGTGAACATGATTCTTAAGCTCCTGTGGGTACAAGCCTATTGTTACATATTTAAATGATTGGAACCATACATTTATTAATATGGGTGCGATGTTTCAGGAGATCCTTATATCCGCTCCGACCATAACAGTTCAGTTGCAGTTTGTTTGGTGTGAATAAGGCTAAGGATTAACTTTGTCCTTTTCCTTGAGGAACCTGTGTCTTCTGTTCTGGTATTAGCCCCTCACTGAGGTTAATTATGTGTGGTTGACCAGTTATGACACCTATGTTTGACCCCTTCCCTATAGTCACCGAGACTGCGAGTGGAAGTTATAATGACGGTTTTGTTGCAGGTGGAGACTGGGCAGTATTCGAACGTACAATCCTGAACAAATCATGCTGAGTGCTGCCGTGCGCAGGTCAAGCCGAGACGTCAGGATAATGAAGGAGAAACTAATTTTTTCAGGTATTATTATTATTATTATGTATGTCTGTGTGCTGGCATATTGGCAAAAGGTTCAAAGTTGGTTTAATACAATTGTATTAACAATTCTTCAGTAATATCACATTGCTGCAAAGATAAGGTTTGACCCTCCACAAAGGATACAAGCCCTCACTGTGGTGGTAGCTCCAGAAGTTCGGGTGGAAATTACTCTGTATAGCCTTTTATAACAGTAATAATAGCTCTTATAGACTCTCATTATACACTTAAACACCAATAGTTAGTGGACACTTGACCATCACATTGTGATGCTGGACATCCCATTTCGAAACCATAGGCATTATTGTGGAGTTGCCCCATCCCTCCCTACCCACACTTTTTTGTGGCTATATCTGCCTTCTCTCTTCTAGATTACACTTTCCATAAGATTTTATAATGTGTCTGTAGTAATGTGTGTCCATTCAACCAAAGAACGTTTGTGAGGTCTGGTACTGATGTTGGATGAGAAGACCTGGCTCACAATTGGTGTTCCAATTTATCCTTAAAGTGTTCAGTTGGGTTGAGGTCAAGTCTCTCTGCAGGTCACTCAAGTTTCTCTCCACCAAACTCATCACACCATGTGTTTTATGGAGCTATTTTGGTGTCTTTCAAGAACAGACAAGAACCTTTCACAGACTGTTACCACAAGGATGTACATGCACAGTTGTATAAAATGTCTTTGTACGTTGTGGCAGTAACAGTAACTTTCACTGCAAATACCTGAGCTCAGTAATTTTGAAAGGTTGCCCACAATTTGTTTTGCCATATAGTGTAGTTGGCTGGAGGAGTTTTGACCTGCCACCGGAAGGGTGACATTACAGCTGACTTTTCTGAATCTTGAGAAGTGACTTTCCAGCTATATGGATGGATCCACATTTTTGACAGTAGTGATCACAAAACATGGAGGTTTGCATTTTTTCATCATATATGGTAAAACAAATGCGGGATTCTGGTCTTCTTTTTTTTTTTTTTT